TTGAAATCCTTTGCAGTATTTAGTATTGCTGATATTAACGAAAAGATTTTATGTCGAGATTTACAATCTATTCTTCCGACTGTGTTTATATTTACATTGCTACTACTATGCTTTATATTTTATAAGGCCACAGGGTCCAACCTATCCTGGTATTTCGCAGGGGTAATCTGCTCGTAAGTGAGTGTAACGAACTCGATTGGAATTCGAACACAGCACTCCGATTTCTCATTTCGATCCATTATCCGTTACACCACACGGACATCCAAGATTACCGCATCTGTTAAACATAAGCGGTCACCCACCATGGCCGAGAAATGGTGTTTCAACCACCTATATATATATATATATATATATATATATATATATATATATATATATATATATATATATATATATATATATGTATGTATGTATGTATTACACACAAACATACACATATATATATGTATATATATGACATCGAATTATGTAACTGTCATGAAGTTTATCATAATAAACACATCATATACACACACAAACGCACATATATATATATATATATATATATATATATATATATATATATATCTCGAGAGATAGAGAAACTTAAAAGAATGCAAAAAACAATATTGCATTTTTATTAAATAAATATTTGTTCTTTTAATCAGTAATTGTTTTTCTAAAATAGTGGCAGTATATTGCATGTCAAATAATATAATTTTAATTTTCCACAAAAAATGAATGAAAATTTATTGTACTTAGCCACGCACTTTGTGTCGCCTTTTTCTGTTTGCACTTCTCAAAATTTGGTTTCGATCAGTCACTGTATGGCTACTTCAGATGGGGTGACAGACGGCCGGAATAACGTAAGTAAGAGAATTATATATATATATATATATATATATATATATATATATATATATATATATATATATATAATATAAATATAGTTCGTTTTCGAAAAACCCTCGAATTTTTGATTTGCTAATCAAATCAATCTCGAGGGAAAAAAGGTTTTAAAAAAAGAAAGAGCTACAAACATGAACTTCTGCCGACAAAAAAATCGCACAGATGCAGGTCTGAAGCCCAAAGAAAAAAAAACCCGATACGAGTAACAACTAACAACAAAAGAGCTCAATACAACCGTAGAGCAGACCTAGATACACCTAGTAGGAGACAAACCTACCCAGGTTTCACCTAAACGGATCGTCAGGGAAACTTCCCCTGACGATCCGTTTAGGTGAAAAACCTAGGTAGGTTTGTCTGGCTCACTAGGTGTATCTATATATATATATAATAATATATATATATATATATATATATATATATATATATATATATATATATATATATATATATATATATTATGAAATGGGCAAATTGTTTTTAAGACATTTATTTTAATTTAATTGTTTTAAGATATATATATATATATATATATATATATATATATATATATATATATATATATATATATATATGTATATATATATATATACGTTCCACACCGATAAAGACCAAACCCCGATTGTTTTCAAAATAAAACAATCTACAAGGAATTCACACCGGCCACAAGAACCACCATTGGTGTGTCTTCTCCGTTTCTCTGTTTATTTCTCGCACCGCTGATGAAGGACACAGGCGTGCCCGAAAAGTCCGGACTGATAGCATTAATCTCCGGGCTTCATTTCTGTCTTGTGATTAATAATTAATATATAATAAATTCTTTTCGCACTGGTCACATTGGTACCTTTTCGTTTTCCCTTGTTTTATTAATCAACCTATCTTTTTTAAATACTACAAGAAGCACACGAGGACTCTTTCTTCTAAATATATATATATATATATATATATATATATATATATATATATATATATATATATATATATATATATATATATATATATATATTATATATATGATATCTCGTTTTGTTCCTTTTTTTACTACTTTTCAGGTATTGATCGCTTTTTTCATCCATTGAGTCTCTCGTTACTACTCAACCCAGAAATTCAATTCACAATTAATATGCCACCAAATTCACACGCCGACTCTTTAATCCACTAGGCTATTTTCCTTTGGGACAATCATGAGTCTAGAACTGGAATCTTTAACGGCAATGTTATTGTCTGGCTGCTGCTGCTGCTGCAGCTGTCACGCTTGAGATCTTTCGGCCTACTCGGCCTATTCAGTAAACCTAGCATGAAAAAATATCATATAGAATCATTAATGAATGAATAAAAAAGAAAATGACAGTAAAGCTTCAATAGCAGCAGCAGTAAGAAAAGAGAAGATACGCTTCTTAAAAGATATTGCTGCATAAAACTATGTAACAGAAATTAATACAATTTTCAATTTTTTTCTCTTTTAATATTGATGTGATTTTCTTTCAGCATTTTAAAAGAGCAAAATATAAATATACAAAATTGGTTCTTTACTATTATTATTAAATGGAAAAAAGAAATGGAAATGGCTTTGTTCTCCAATTTCAGTCAGTTATGTGCCATACGTGATACACGCTTAGGCGATCATGTATCTTTCGATACATGACTGACGAGCAATTTTTTTTTCCCACAGTAGGTTGACATTTCTTTCTGCGGTAGACCAGTTGCCAACCAAGGCTATAGAACCAGGTCTGTCCTGCTATTTACCCATAGAGAACAGGATTCATACCTTTCCCAAGGGTATTAGCACATACGTGAATGTAATGGATTCGACTGGAATTCGAACTCGGTTCTCCGATTTCTCAATCCGAGCCGCTATCCATTACTTCACCGTGAAGAAATGGAAATGACATTGTTCTCTAATTTACTCCATTTAAAATGTCGCGGTAGCCTGATTTAATTATGTGAAGTGTTGAGACTATAAATTGCCATCCCCTCCCCTGCAGAACATGAATGTGTTCATATTGTTTGCGTGACGTCTTCTATTTGCCGTGTCTCTTCAAGATGTGGACGATCGTGGCTTTCCACAAACCCCTTTCCCGATGTTGCCTCTTAGCAATGCTTGTCACTTTGCCAAACCTCCCGAGCCCCGGTTCCGCCATGCATTCACACAAGCTCGTCAGATATGTAAACTGTTGATTCCCCTCTCCCTTTTGTCTTCGATTTGTCCTGTCAGTGTCCAGTTCTCCACCCCTGCTTTCTCAGTTTGTGTCTAGCTGTCTCTTTCTGATTCTGAGTCTAATTGTGCGTTTGGTTTCCAATCCATAAACCTTCTTAAAAACCGCCCCCGACAATATAAGATTTTACAGCAGAAAGATTTTACAGCTAACAAAAACAACGCTACTCTGCCGTTTTTTGATGTAGTATATATACAGACGAATAAAAATCAGATCATTATGATATAGGTTATTATTATTATTATTATTATTATTATTATTATTATATAGGTTAGAAGGTTCACATTCTAACCATGAGACCCGTGTTCGAATTTCACAAGGAGACTTCCTGATGTCATCGGACTGGAGGGGGTCGATCCCAGACTGCGGCACCTTTGCCTGAAAACCACGCTACGGGTTTACCCAAACCTTGGGAGTGAAATTGGGTAGACGTAACCCTTGGCCTCATCGATAGCTGTGCTAGCATGATGTCACAAGTCATCGTGGCTGAGAGCTTGAGCGTGCTGGCCTTGTTAAATTGTTGATCATGCTAGATAGCACGCTCTTTCCTAGAAACTGTAACTAAGGTCTGCTCAGCATAGTTGCAGTATAAACCACAGGTGGACCCTGTGGGTGTTGAATAAACACAAATGTGCCTGAGCAAGCGTCTGCAACAGGGATTGGCAAACCACCCTAGTAGACGGGTATCTTCGAATACGAGTGGCCAGCTAGACTATTGCTACTACTATTATCACTATTGCTATTTCTTTGGATTTCTGTTGTATGCATTTTTCCTTCTGGATCAAAACCAGATACCGTAGCATTTTCCTCTGATCATTTTTGTAAAAAGAAAATAAAAGCTAAAATCACAGACATTTTACATAGATAAAGCTCTTCGTAATGTGTGAGCTGTACTTGTGAGTACATTTTTTTGGTATTTCTTTAAGTCATGGGCTACCATAAATCCTTCCAATAAGTCTATGGAAACCATTTCCAATCAAATCAAGGTCTCCAACTACAACTGGAACTATTGATGTCCTCATGTGCCATAATTTTTTTTAGATTTCCACTTCAAGAGCCTTCTATTTTAATAGTTTTTAAAGATCTTGAAAGATACATTGTAATCTGTAGGGTCATCCATATCAGTAAGAAAGCACTTCCTTTACTTTTTACGATCTTTGGTCACAATGTCTGGGCGATTAGCTTTGATTTTCCTGTCCTGTGTGTATTGTAAAGTCTCATAGAATTGTTGCAGGTCCTAACTCTGTAAGTGGGTCTGGGTGATGTTCATAGCAATTTCTTACAATTTCCTTCCCTTAAAAGTTGCATAATATCCAAGAAAGTTTTAATTTCTGTGGCCTGCAAGAAAGTTTTTTTTTTTTTGTATTGAGCTTAAAATGTACTTTTGTTTAAACTTTGTAAAACTGTATCAAGACGTGCTTGCAGCTATTTTCCCATTATTTCCCAAATCTGTCATGAAAAGCAAACTGTGAATTTTGCCGAAATAAAATTAAAAAAAAAAATAAAAAAAAAATGAAAATTACTGAATGCTGTTTCATCTTCTGCAAATATGACGCTGGTTAGTTTTGCATCAACCTAATACAGATATACATATACACACTTACACCATTGATTTCTCTGTGTTCTTTTTATGTTTGGAAATCGGCGCATGCGCACTGAAGGCTTTGCGTGAGCGCGTGACTCTTCTCTTTATTCATTCATTCAATTTTCTACATTCTTCTTTCATTCCTCCGACGCACTTTTCTTTCCTCTGTCTTCCCAATACGTGCACAGCTGTTATTTGGCTTCTCTAGCCTTGACGACTGCACAGTTATTCTCTTCCTTTCTTTCTTTCTTTTTTTTTTTAATGTTGTATTCTTTTCCTTTTCTTTTTCATTCCAGTTCTTTTAGGTTAGACTGATGCACTTACCTTACCGTCGTTCTTTCATTCTATCTATCTATCTATCTATCTATCTATCTATCTATCTATCTATCTATCTTTCTTTCTTTCTTTCTTTCTTTCTTTTTTATTCCTTTCTTCATCTTGTCAATCTCTCTCATTCTATGTGTCTGACATTCAGGTTGTAATCTGGAATTCGTCCCTTTCTAAATTTGACCATTTTTAAAAATTATTTTCATTGTTTTCTGTCATAAAAACCCTAAATTATATGTCAATTTTATTTTTGTATTACTTTTTATTTTCCTACGATATTTTAATTCTTTCTTTCTTTTGTAGTATTTCGTACTCGCTCTTTCTTTCTTTCTTTCTTTCGTACGATTTGTTTCCTTCTTTTGAACTATTTCTTACTTTTGTACTATTTATTCCATTTGTAGTATTTTTTTTGGGTTTTCTTTCTTTCATACGATTTCTTTCTTTTTTTCTTTTGTGCTATTTTCTCTCTCTCTCTATCTATCTATCTATCTATCTATCTATCTATCTATCTATCTATCTATCTATCTATCTCTATCTCCCTTTCTTTTTTTCGTACGATTTCTTTCTTTTGTACTATTTCTTACATTTGTACTATTTATTCATTTTGTACTATTTCTTACTTTCGTACGATTCTTTCTTTCTTTCTTTCTTTTGTAATATTTCTTTCTGCCTCTGTCACTCTTTTTCTTTCTTACTTACGATTTCTTTCCTTCTTTTTACTATTTCTTACTTTTTCTTTTTTCTTTCTTTCGTACGATTTTTTTCTTTCTTTTGTAGAAATTTTTCTCTTTCTCTCTCTCTCTCTATCTATCTATCTATCTATGTACCTATCTTTCTTTCTTTCTTTCGTACGATTTCTTTCTTTCTTTCTTTCTTTCTTTCTTTCTTTCTTTCCTTCCTACCTTTGTAGTATTTCTTTCTATCTCTCTTCCCTCTTTCGTATGCTTTCTTTCTTTCTTTCTTTTCTACTGTTTCTTCCTTTTGTATTATTACTTTATTTTGTACTATTTCCGTCTTCCTTCCTTCCTTCCTTCCTTCCTTCCTTCCTTCCTTCCTTCCTTTCTTTCTTTCTTTCCTTCCTTTGTAGTATTTCTTTCTATCTCTCTTCCTTCTTCCGTACGATTTCTAGTATTTTTTACTCTTTCTCTCTCTCTGTGTCTTTCTTTCCAACGATTTCTTTCTTTCTTTCTTTCTTTCTTTCTTTTCTTTCGTTCTATTTTTCTTTCTTTCTTTTCTTTCTTTCTTTTGTAATATTACTTTCTTTTTTTCTTTATTTCGTAAGTTAACGGCCTCACACCCGTCCCTTCCTCCATTCACACAACCTCGTCAATAATGTAGCCCATTGCTTTCTCTTATCTCTCTCTTACCCTTGCCTTGTGTGAGTTAATTTTTCGAAGCCCTCCTTCCTGATAATCTGTCCAAGAAATAGTTTCTATTTTATAAATCTTTAGCTAAACGCATATTTCTTGGAACACTCGGTAGAAGATGTTGATTTCCTGTTCCAGCTCATTCTTATTCCAATAGTTCGGAGAATTTCCATAAGGGTGGCGCTAACTATTTTCATACTATTTTCCTTTGACTTAAATCAAGTCCTTGCATGAAACTTGTAACCTGATTATGTGCTTTGCATTCATTGGACCATGCTTTACAAATTACGTGTTTTCTTGAACAAAATAATATGAGCTTCTGTTATCAAGCAACGCTTTTAAATAGGTGACAATTAAATCAAGTGACACTGTAAAGTACTAAGAAACAGGAAGATTTCGTTCGACGCGAAGAAAAAGAATCCTGAATTTGCAATGTGATAGCAATCCTCTTCTATGAGTGAAAATTGAACAATCTCACCACAAATGAAGCGGAATTTGAAGGCAGAAATCAAGTTCTCCAGAAAGATACTGAGAATTCAATGGATGGAGCGAGTAAGCAACGAGGAAGTCTTCAAGAATACCGTAACAAAAGAAACGCTTATACTCAAAATAAGAAATAGACAGCTGAAATCTGATCTGAGAAAGCGCTTCTATACAGCTGACAGTTTAGGTATTTCTGAACCGGTTTGGTGACATGCATAACAGCTATATCAAGATACCGTTCTGATTAGGCTATTTAAGAACAGGGCTCGATTTTTCAGGTTTTTGTTTTGGTTTTGTAGCAATTGGTGGTGTTGTGCGAAACTACCTCTAACGCAGCTTATTCTACATTCAATTTTCTTATCTCTTATACTAAATTCCTTTTTATTTTCCTACGATATTTTTATTCTTTCTTTCTTTTGTAGTTTTTTGCTCTCTCTCTCTCTCTATCTATCTATCTATCTATCTATCTATCTATCTATCTATCTCCCTTTCTTTCTTTCGCACGATTTCTTTCCTCTTTTGTACTATTTCTTAATTTTGTACTATTTATTCCGTTTTTACTATTTCTTTTCTTTTTTCTTTGATTGTGCACGTCATTTTCTTTCTTTCTTTTCAGGGAGTATTTCTCTCTCTCTCTCTCTCTCTCTCTAAAAATATATATATATATATATATATATATATATATATATATATATATATATATATATCTCCCTTTCAAAAAAAAAACAGATTTCTTTCCTTTTTTTTTATAGTACTTCTTTCTGTCTCTGTCACTCTCTTGCTTACGATTTGCTTCCTTGTTTTGTACTATTTCTTACATTTGTAAGAAATAGTACAAATTACAAAATAACTGATCCATACTTCGAGGTATTTGAAGTGTTTACTAATTCCACATCCTGAATTATATGATAGATTCAGGTTAGGTGCTATGACTACTTTCATCCCAATTCCAGATCATAATTTCTGTTTTCGAAAGGTTTGAGTACTATTTCTTGAAATACTTGGTAACGGATATTTCTGGTAGCCACCATATTCGCCTGATAAGATCCTAATCAAGCATTAATAGGATATAGATCTATAGATCTATAGATTCTGCACGTACAGGTATCACAGTGTTGTCGATTGCTATCAAAGCAGCCCGGCTCAACATTTTTCCAATATTTGCAGAATCAATACCACATCGAGTTCCTGCACGTCCCATGGCTATGGGTTTTCTAAAATATACTAAGAATCATTGTAATATCAGATAAACCTCAGATGATGCCAGAATAGACTGTGTATTCAATGTCTCACTAGACCATAAGAGAAGTCAGGTGCATTAGCGGATTCACGTGAAAGCTGTCCACCGAGCCAAAATTCTTCACCTACAGATATCATGAAGATGTAGAAAGCTTTTGCGTCGACATCGCTCAAGAACCAGAGATGTTCTGACGAGTTGTGGAACCGATACCACATCTTGTTCCTGAGGCAGGATTTTACATGAATCTATTCCATTCATTTTTGTACATCATTGTGTATATGAATGTGGATTTTAATATGAAAGTGTGTGTGGGGGGGTGCTAATTCTGTATTTTCCCGGTCAAGATTTCCGGGTTCGAATCTCACGGTGGTTGAATTTTCAAGCACATGACTGCTTGATGATGTCGACCTGTGGAAAATAAATTGTAAGTGGGTTGAGTAAACATTTTTTTACATTAGCTGGGCTAGCAACGTACTGGACATGCTCAACTAATGATCAAGTAAGATTATGCGTTCTCTCCCAGAAAGTGTGTTGCACTGCGTGCCGTCTCTGTCTTTTCGTGGTCTCTCGGCAATTCTTCAGATCCCAACGCTGCATCACACACAATGTGAATGATGGACAGTTTCTTTTATTTCAGTGCAGATACGCAGTGATAGTAGTATTATTTCTTGGATGAAGAGAGAGCTGATGTCACTAGGTTGTCCTATTACCTATCATCACAGCGTTGGATGTCTTACTGAATAATATCGGAGCGGCGAGGCGTCTTTAATCTTCTATTCACGCAAGTACACTCACTGTCTTTAGCTGATGTATGATCTTAAACAAAAACAATCCAACACTGTTAGGATTCCATGCCCACGGAATACAAACCACTTGCACTCAGTTCGGGTCGTCAGAGTTCTGACAAGTACAGTAGCGTTTTTGCCCTTTTGATTCATCCTACACATTCTATAACAACTTTAACTAAGGTATGCGCAGCATAGTTGTAGTATGAACTACACGTTGGCACTGTGGGTGTCAATTAAACACAAATGAATAGGTGTCCTCATTGAGCTTTAGCCCACCAACATAGCAGCTGAGCATATTCTGAAATAAAAAGTTAAGATTGTGATTTTCAGTGGAGTATTTCTGAAAGGGGTCTGTTTCAAAAAGTAGGTGTTCTTGGGAAGAAACTTTCTGAATGGAACGCTCTTCTTACCAAAGTAATATGTCGAAAATGGGGGTAATTTGTCAGCAAAGCAGGTCTGGGTTGTAAATGTCTGAGCTGGTACTTCTAAAGTATGGAGTTTATCGGAATATGTGCTATGGATATAAAGTAGAGATAAGCTTGCGACATTTGTATGTGCAAAAGGAGCTGTAGGGTTGAAAATGAGTCATCACTCGCAAGGCCGCGAAAAATTTTTTTTTTTTTTTTAGCTCTGCCGAGGTTGGAAAACTGCAACCAAGATAAAACACCAATACTAGATTTTTGTTTTATCAAACTCTTGTAATGATAATGTATGACTTGAGTTAAGTAGTTCTTGGAGTGAAAAAATGTGCCGAGCAGCATTTTTTATGATGTTTCTTATATATTGGTTTCAGTTCAAGATGAACTTGAGTGCCTTTAGACCAATGTTTTTCAACCAGTGCACCCGGGTGCACTAATGCACCCTGAAATGTAGCCAGGCGCACCCCAAGTTAACTGGAGGGTAATTTATTAATTATTTTTATATTAAAAAAAAATCTATATTTTTTTAAAAGCTCGAGACACTAAGTAATGTAATGTCTTAAAAATAAATGCTTATTTAAGGAGACTTCTTTATTATTTCTCCATTTTCATATTTCATGACTAAATTTTCCTTATTAAAACTTTAAGTGTACCACCCCAGTTTTAGTTATTTCATTTTTTTAAAAAAACAGGCATGTACCAGGATGTATGAAACAAATTTGTTATGTTTAGTACCATTTTTCATATTGCCGTAAGGTTGCCTATCTGTGTCTTCTATTATAAATGATTACAGGGTAATTGTTCAGATGAGATCTTTGATATTGTACCCAGACTCTTTGAATTTAAGCGCAGTAGGAGACTTGCATCAAAATCTCATTAATTTACGGCTGTGCTGGCTAAATGCAGCCATAACTTCTATGCTAACAGTCTCTTTACTTGCACTTCTCGCTTGTGGAACTTCCCAGTCAACTTTAATCTGCAAAAAATTAAATGTAATGTCAATCGTTATCTACTCTCCTCCTTATCATTCTTCTCTATTTACCCATTACCAATGTTTCTGTTCTTAATTTCTCCTCATCTAATTCTTTGGAAAATATTCTATCACGATACAAACTGTCATAGAAAGTTTGAAAATTTTTTTTTATCCATACAGGGTTTCTCAACCGGTGCATCGAAGTGCACTAATGTTCCATGAAAGATAACCAGGTTCACCCCAAGTTAACAGAAGAGTAATTTATGAATTAATTTTATATTAATAATTTAAAAAAAAACTGTTTTTAAAAGTTACAGACACCAAAGACATTGTTTTCATGGCTAAGTATTTGTCATTTGAATTTTTTAAATTAGATGCTAAATTCCTTAATTTTTAAGGAGTGTATAATCTTTCACTTTTCTCAAGGGATTTAAATTGGTCAATTATCAGCCTCACTGAGAAAAAAAAATAGAAAATTCTTCATAAATCCCTTTTAAATGAAACTGCACTGTTAATCTTCTTTTGGGATGCTAAACCAAATTTCAGGACTAACTTAAAGTGTACAACCCCAGTTTTAGTTATTCTATTTAAAAAGAAAGGTATCTACCAGGAGATAAGAAACAAAGTGATTATCTTTAGTCCCATTTTTTATACTGCCGTAAGGTTGCCTATCTGAGCCTTTTTTTTATAGAAAAATAAGTTTCTACATAATCTAAAACAGGGTTTCTCAATCGATGCATCCAAGTGCACTAATGGGCCCTCAAATGTAACCAGGGTCGCACAAAGTTAAACAGAAAAGTAATTCATGAATTATTAAAAAAAAAAAATTTGGTTTTCGGCTATTTTCAAAGTCATTGCATTCTCTTTCACTCCCTTGCGTCTTAGTGGGATTATCACTTTGTTTTGGATGAAAGGATTAAAAACAATCTTTGACATTTTAAAGTGGATGCTAATTTTCTTAATCTTTATGAAGCGGTGAATAATCTTTTCACTGTTGCCTTCCTCAAGGTATTTAAATCTGTTATTATCAAAAACTCTAAGATTCTTCGAGAATGCTGAATCAAAATTTCATATTTTCAAATTTCATGACCAGAGTTTTAGCTAATCTACAAGTGCGCCCTGAAGTAAAAAAAAATAAAGGTTGAGAAACACTGCTGTATAAATCCAAAGCAGTGAGCCCCTCCTTCTGAGTATGTAACCGTTCATCATCACGAGTAGCTTCAGGGTCGTCTCGGTGATAAAATTTTAGTAGCTTGGTTTTGAAGCTTTTCAAAGTTTTAAGTAAAATTAAATGGTAATACTGGGCACTCTTTAAAATTCGTCTCCGAAAAAAAATGGCGTGTCAAAAGAACTGTTATTCCCTTAACAACGCTATTGCTACCTTCACTTTCGATTCCCCCGGCAACGTTTATTTACAAGATTATAAACGTATGTGAACCAAGTATTTATGCCATATTTGTTATTTACCTTTAATACACATATGACGTTTGTCACTGATTGATGTTACATTCAGCGCCCGACTCCAGAGTTTCGTAGACGAACCTTTTTGTAATCGATCGGTCCACTCGTCAGGAGGCATCATCAAATATTTATCATTTTATAAAGAAATAAATGTGAAAAGAAATCTTTTTATTCCAAAATTCATTAAAAAAATTAAAAATTCTCAAAATGTTTAAGATTAAAATATACCCTTAACCGATTAAGTGAAATTATGTGGAGAGAGCAAATAAAATAAATGCCTGGAAAATTATTTTTCAGAATTTTATACCGTCCTGGGTATGACAATAAACTACATCCGGCAGCAAGGCCTCTGATCAGAAGGTTTTGAGGAGCGTGGAACCACCTCTTAATTTCTGGTGTTCCCGGGTCCACCCTGACCCAAGGTTGTAGCACCTGTTAGGGTCCCAGCTATGGGCAAAGAGTTGACCCTACAACCTGACTCAAAACACTATGAAAGTGTAAAAATAGATTTTAATACCAGAAATACTTTTTTAAAAAAATTAGTAACAGCAATAAATATTTGAAAAAAGAAAATATTACCAGAAATAAAAATCTTGTCAGCATTAAATAACCCATTGAGGTTAATATGCTACAAAACAAAACAAAACAAACTATACATTTTTGAAAAAAATATTACCAGCTATAAATTTCTGAAAAAATTATCAGCTATATATTTTTGAAAAAAAAGGACATTTTGTCGGCATTAAATAACCTATTGTGGTTGATATGCC